ACTCATTTCTGTGTGGATTTTTCAGAAAAACGTTGATTAAAGGCACCAAAAAATGTTAATTTTGGGTTACCACGGACTCTTAAGCAAAGGAAATAACTAATCTTTGGCGGCCATTTTCTCACTAATTTTACTTCTGAAAACAAGTGAACCCACCTACTTCTTTCGCAAATATCTCGACTTGTATTCAAGAAAAATTTATATTTTTTTCATCCAAATAAAGACACACGAGCAAGCTTTAAGATGATACCAATAACTCTACATGCCCAAAATTTGACGAGAGCCTGATTCCACCACGCTGCCTCACATATTATTATTTGCATCATCATCATCATCATTGCCTTTCTCACCCTGCACCAGGGTACAGACCACGGACAAACACTTTCTCACCCTGCACCAGGGCCACGGACAAATACCTTCCACTTTTCTCTATCCTGGGCTAGTCTCTCGATGTTATTCTATGTCTTCCCATTTTTCTGTACATCGATTTCTTTGATTCTTCTCCAGGTTCCACGCGGTCTTCCCCTTGATCTCTTACCCTGTGGGTTCCAATCCAAAACGTTCTTTGTTATGCAGCTGCCTGACTTCCTGAGAGTATGTCCAATCCATCGCCACCGCCTTCTTCCTACCTCACCTCTGACTGGGATCTGTCTTGTTTTCCTTAACACTTCCACATTGGTGACCCTGTCTGTCCATCTGATTCTCAGTAACTTTCTTAGACACCTGTTCAAGAAAACCTGGATCCTCTTTATGTAAGTCTGTGATGCATTCCATGTCTCACATCCTATTACATGCATGCATAATCTATTTTTTGTTGCAAGTGTCATAAAACAGTTACTCAAACACAACAACCTAAACATCGGTCTTTGTCTCTCTTTCTATCAGTTCTCAACTCTGACGACGCTGGGCACGTGGCGTTCTTCGTGGGTCTAGGTTCGAACACGGGACCTGTCAGCTCCAACACGGACCTCCTCTTCGACAAGATTGTCACAAATGTGGGCGCGGCCTTCAGCGTGGAGACAAGTCGGTTCACCGCTCCTTACAACGGGACCTACAGCTTCTCCGTCACCATCGCGGCTCAGGGCAGACAGAGGGTATTTAGCTTTCGTTCATTGTCGTCAGCGTCATATATCTTTATCGTCAACAACATCACTATTATCATGACCATTATCATCGTCTTTAGCGGCAGTAGGAGCACCAGTACCATAAGCAGCAGCAGTAGGAATGGAAATAAAGATTGCAATATCAGTTATGATGAAAATAATAATATCCTTTTCTTCATTTTCTTGTAACCTCCCAGCCCCTCTTTTTTGCTCCTCATTCTAATCCCCCCCTTTCCTCCCTTTCTCTCCGCTCCTCCTCCTCCTCCTCCTCCTCCT